ATTACATAAATGGAGATAATTAATGAAAAGTATGAATTAATAGCGTGATAAACGATGTACTAGTTGTGGTAAGAATAATAAAGACTTGATAACATTTTTCAGAATGGTAAATAGGTAGATGAGTTGAAAAAAAATAAAGACAGAAGGGGTGTTGTGAAGATTTAGTATTTTAGTAGTTGAAAGCGTGAGTCAATTGAAGCTAGACCACCATCGAAAACCTGGAAACACTCGACGGCCGTTTCGTCCTATTATAGGACTCCTCAGCAGTGCGCATCCACGATCCCGCTCTCGCGAGATTCGAATCAAGGACCTACCAGTCTCGAGCCGAAGCTCTTAACCGATAGACCATTGAGCTGGCATCCAACGGTGTTAATGTCTAACTTCAACTGATCCACGAAGTTGAGCAACCATTCACCAATTGTCTTCAGTGAGTTCCTATCTCACAACAGACGTGGTTTTGAACTCCACTGGTCATTTTATGTCCAAAATTTTGTAGAAACGATTGAATCCAATGTATGACGTAATTTCCCATCAATAATCAGAACTACACGGTTAAAGTCACATGCACTGGGTAGGGATTTATAATTCTTTACGTCATACCATCGAAACATGTCAAATGGTTAATCTTAAAATCTATTTTAAATATGTAAACTAAAATTCACCAGAGTACATTAATAGATTTCTGAAGATCCTGGAAATTGTTCTAATATAAAAACAGTCATTAAAATTATGACATGAAAATACAGGAAATATAGAACATCAAGTTAATTTTAAATGTAAAACTATATTTTGATGATGTAATTTATCTGTAATAACTGTAATTAATCATTGTTTTCAGAAAGGGTGGTTTTAGAGAGATTGTAGTACTCTAATAATTGAATTTATGAGTCGATTAAAGCTAGACTACCATGGAAAAACTGGAAACACTGGACGGCCATTTCATTGTAGTATGTGATGGTGGATACGCACTTCTGAGGATTTCCACAATTGGACAAAACGGCCGTCCAGAGCTTTCGGGTTTTCCATGACGATCTATCTTTAATTGACTTATGATCTCAACTATTAAAATTATTATTTTATTTAAAAAGAATACCCTTGTGATATTAATTTGATCAGTTTTAAAAATTGTAGACCATTATCAATTGATTTGGATGAAATTTTTGTGTAGTAATATTGTTGTTATCAAAGGTGGTAATTCAAAAGTTTACAATTTTCACTTTTAAATAATTAATGATATGTACAATGATTGTGAATTGAAACTATCGGTAATTAGATGTAATGCAACTGAATGGTATCGTGTTAAGTTTGACATCATCTTCAATAATAAATGGTTATGATTAATTGGTCTGGAAGTGGAACGCTATAACCAGTGACAAATAACTATTTATAGTTTTTATTAGTTTTCAAAATGACAACGACACTTGATAGAAATGTTTCTTGGCGCGATTAAGAATAATGTTTCAGCCAGAGTAACAGCAATCCACCTTATATTTTTAGGGTTTGTAAAAGTTGCTTATATCCTGAAATACTTCAAAATCATAAGTTTAAATTTTAACAAACTTACGAAAGTCAAATTTGTTGGAATTTAACAAGAAAATATAATCGTGTATTGTAGTAAATATACAAATAAAGTGAAATTGGTAGTGCAGTAGAATTTCTATAAAATGCAAACTAACGTTCGAGAACACAAACTAAAATAATTACAAAAGGTTGAAAGGCAAAATTTAGGCAGAAACGTAGTGAAATAATTGAACTTAATTTAACGACAAATAATACTGATATGATTCATTCAGATTGTTTCGATATTACATTCATTCTAGGGAAAGATGAATGGTGGTTAGCAGTGAAATCCAGAACGCGCGTTTCGTCCTATTTGTGACTCGCTAGCTAGATTTACACAGATTGGAATACAAAAAAGAATTTAACTTCACTTTATTGCACAAGCTGGTGACTATCAGAACTCAGTAAATAAGTAGATAACACGATGGCATTTGATGAGAATGGTACCGGGTTCGAGTCCCGGAGTGAAGATCAACTCTGAGATATAGATATATCCTGCTGACTAGTCCCAAATAGGACGAAACACGCGTTCTGGATTCCACTGCTAGCGAGCATCATCTCAGTCTATAATACTGATATAAGTTAAGCTTAGTCAATTGGAAAATCGGATTACCAACGAAATAATGATATGACAATATAATAAAATGAAATGTTTTTTTTAAAAAAAGCGGTTTCTACCATGTTATCGATCAGTCACTTCTAATATGACAGTATTTGGCTCTCCACTACGTGATGACTAATGAATTCAACTGTTAAAATAATATTTATTTTTCTGAATTCCATATCATCAAAAAGTAGAACAAGAAAATTTCGTATTTGAGATAATGAAAGTTTGTTTTTCCTAAGTTTAATCAAGAAAAGATATATTACTACGTACATTTATAAAATGAGTGAAGAGAACTGTTTACTCTCGCGTTCATTTCTAAAAAAAGGAATAACACATATTTTTTCAAAGTTGAAATCATGAGTCAATTGAAGCTAGACCACCATCGAAAACCTGGAAACACTCGACGGCCGTTTCGTCCTATTATGGGACTCCTCAGCAGTGCGCATCCACGATCCCGCTCTAGCGAGATTCGAACCTAGGACCCATCAGTCTCGAGCTGAAGCCCTTAACCGATAGACCACTGAGCTGGCATCCAACGGTATCAATTGTTGAATATATTTGTTTATGAAACATAACCTAACATATCCCAACGGGTAACTATCTTATCATTGTATACATGAATATAATTTCCTTTGTTCATAACGAACGATAACAAATAACTAATCTACTTTTTCTATAAATAATAGATTAATCATTATAATATATGTGATGGATATTTTTGTATGTAAATATACTTGGAAACAATATTAATCAACATATTTCAATGTATCCATGTGATTTCCTTATGACAATATGGAATGATTTATAAACCAAAAATGAAAAAAAAACATAAGAGATAAAAAAAACAAAAGAAAACAACAAATACCCCCCTCTTGAGTTTGTCTTCAACATAAAACAAACAGTAGTAAATAATTCAAATGAAGTATACTATGTCAATTGATCAAATTAGATTAAAAATCATATTTTTTTAGTTGAAAGTTTCTTAAGTAATCTATTGAGTCAAGTCATAAGCTTCAAGGATTTGGTTAGCAACAATTATTTGTGATAGAATATACATTATTATATTATGGAAATTATTAAAGAAAGGGTTTCAATAAATTCCCTTAGTATTGTTTACATTAATCTTTCCATTGATGTTTTGAACTGCAAACAATACTAAGTGAACTTCACACAATTGCACAAACAAGTGGCTATCAGGATTCAGTAGCTGAGTGAATAATGCGATGACGTTTGAAGCGAATAATACTGGGTTCGAACTCCAGACTGAACATCAACTCTAAGATGCAGATACATCCAGATGATGAGTTCCAAATTTAATGAAATGTGCATCCTGGATTCCACTGCTAGCCACTTTTCATGTTTGCTTAAAAAAGGTTTCATTAATTTATTCATTCATGTCGTTAAATAATTCACTTACAAATTCAATCTAAAAGAATATTAGATAAACAATCAAACAAATAATAGTATATAAGAACTTTTGTCTAAATTAGAACGAATAGTTTCATAGTATTTAGGCGCTGAGTTGATGTAAGACATTAAATAAGAATAATATATTTGTAAAATCTCAGTGAATTAATTTAAAGTAAATTCAACGTTTCACCTGGCAATCTGATCCAAACTTTTTCAAGGAATTATGATTAAACATTAAAATTATCGAATATAAATAGGTATATGGTTCTTCGTTTCATTGTACACTGAATAGATTTGATTATAATTCCTTGAAAAAGCTTGGATCAAATTGACAAGTGAAATGTTGGATTTACTTCAAATTCATTCGCTGAGATTTTACAAATATATTATTCTTATTTAATGTCAAACAAATAATAGGTTTATGGGATTTGTAAGGGGAAACAATAATGATTGGAAATTATGGATTATTTATGCAAAATATGCTAAGGGACCTAATAATGTTAAAGTTTGTTTTTTCTAAATTCAATGAAGTTGGTGTTTGAAATGAAAATAACTAATTAGTGTAATGATAAATAGTTGTAAAAGGAGGATAAGTAAATAATTGGTAGTATATTATTGTCATTTAATAAGAGTATATTCGGTTGATTCAATATTTCTGTAGTGAAGATAACAAATATGGAATTAAACACGTACAAAATAGGAGAAATGATAAAATATAAGACTAGATTCATTTGGTAATGTTTGGTTGAATCTTCCCATTGATGTTTAAGACTTCGATTGATCAGTCTCCTATTGGCAAATAGGCATCCTGTGCGTATTGTCTCGATATAGCCTTAATTCACAAGCATTATAAGTAAAGATGAATAATGGCTAGCTGTGGAATCATAGGCGCACGATTTGTTCATTTGCACAAGAAAGTGACCATCACGATTCAGTAGCTAAGTGAATAACGTGATGGCATTTGTAGCGTACGGTACTGGGTTCGAGTCCCAGAGTGAACATCAACTCTTAGATGCGGGTACATCCAGCTGAGAAGTTCTGAATCGTACGAAACACGCGTCCTATATTCCACTGCTAGCCACTATCCATCTTTGCTTAATAAGATTGATGTACAAAAAGTTTATTTAGTACACTGATGATTAAAATAAATTCAGCCCCTGAAGAAAATTAAATCATCTGAAAGAATTTGTCCCTTTTAATGGTGTTTATTTGGGTGTTTTAGGTAAATAAAAACTTTTATTGACTCACGTCTGCTGTTTAAAATTACTTTTTTTGTAAATAGAAAGTTATCCAGAATTATTTTATGACTATTATTGGTTTCTAGATGTAAATGAGATTGATGATTTAGGTCAAATTGAACAAGGTAAACATCAACCACATTTTTTTTAATGAGATTGTAATAAACAAAATTATTTTCACTAACCCAACAGGTTTTCTAATGGGTCTCATATGAATTTTCCATGTTGCGACGGATGATGAATGAGGATCTGCAGCATAACACCTCCATAAACACTGAATTAATGTAGCAGCTGGAACTCGTCTTCGAATCAGATGTTTTCGTCTTTGATGTTGTTGTACTTTGAGAGCGAAACCGCTACCTAATATACCCTGAAATTAGAAGACATTTAATAAATTATGTATATGTAGAGTATTCAAAAAATTATATTTATTTGTTTTGCTCTGTTCATTACACAGTAATATACCATTAAATTGCTAATATGTTTTTAAAAGAGATGTATAGCTATTACTTAAAAGAAAGTGCAGGTCTTTTGACCAGTAATTTTTTGTAAACCTTAATGAATTCAATATGGATTTCACTGGTTTGGTCAATTCATAAGACATTTTTACAGCTAAATGACTTTTCTTGTCAAAAAGTGACATTATCTGGAGAATTGTTTAAAACTGAAGAACACTAGGAAAGATTGTTATTCTCAACCTTTAGCCAGTGGAAATAACCACTAAGCAATTCTTGCAGCCAACCTGATATTCATCAATTACTGAGTCTGAACAGTCTAACAACAGAAATTAAATTAATAGATTATTCCGTTTAGTGTCCGAAGTTTATCATTTCACAAAATCCATTAATTAGTTGCTGTTTGAAATTTTGATCTAATCCCAGCCAGGGATATTTATCTAACAGTTCTTAGGCGGAGTTTACCTAACTAACTGCATTAACAGTGACTTCGTTTTGTCTTTTTATGATTCAAATACCAATATTGCTATAAACTATCTATTTCTACTACTATGTTTATGATTATCCCTTAGGCTTCTGTTTGTAAGCAATCTATTCTTCATACGTTTTGATATTCAAAGCATTATATCAGATTTCATTTCATAATACATGTTTTACAATTATATATATTTTTCTATCAAGAAGTGTTGTGATTGCTGTTTCTTACTATACTATGCATTGTCTAAGAGACTGTGTTTTCTGCTAACCATCAATAATTTCTCATTAAAATATTCATGTTGTATTCATGCTTAAAATTTTAGCTCATTACACTTACAATTCACTGGTCTTGATAACTATTGGTAACTGAGGTAAACTATTGTTAATAAGTTCCAGTTGGTAGCATTTCAAAATCGACTATTCAACTTTCAAATAAAGACAATAATATTTGATATAATTCACAGATGTAAAAAAAACTTGATTAGAATACAACGTTTCAATGACAAAAACAATACTCAGGAGATATAATCAGTTATTGATTTATTCTTAGACCAGTGTAGCAGCAGCCTCAGCAGCAGTAGGTCTCAATATAAACAAAGGGAAAAGCAAGACTCTCCGATACAATACAATATGCACCAATCCAATTACACTTGACGGAGAAGCTTTGGAGGATGTGGAAATCTTTACATATCTGGGCAGCATCATTGATGAACACGGTGGATCAGATGCAGATGTGAGGGCGCGGATCGGCAAAGCAAGAGCAGCATATTTACTACTGAGGAACATCCGCAACTGAAAACAATTGTCAACCAACACCAAAGTTAGAATTTTCAATACAAATGTGAAGACAGTTCTTCTGTATGGGGCAGAGACGTGGAGAACTACGAAAGCCATTATCCAGAAGATACAAGTGTTCATCAACAGCTGTCTACGCAAGATACTTCGGATCCGATGGCCAGACACTATCAGCAACAAGTTACTGTGGGAGACAACATACCAGATTCCAGCGGAGGAAGAAATCAGGAAGAAGCGCTGGAAGTGGTTTGGGCACACTTTGAGGAAATCACCTAATTGTGTCTCAAGACAAGCCCTCACATGGAGTCCTGAAGGTCGAAGGAGAAGAGGAAGACCAAAGAACACATTACGCCGAGAAATAGAGACAGACATGAGAAGAATGAACAAGAACTGGAAAGAACTAGAAAAGAAGGCCCAGGACAGAGTGGGTTGGAGAATGCTGGTCGGCGGCCTATGCTCCATTGGGAGTAACAGGCGAAAGTAAGTAAGTAAGTAAGATTTATTCTTAGAGGAGACATATTTTCAACATCAGAATTAATGGATTTATTAAATCTTCAACATAGATTTAAATTATTTTTGGCATAAATTAAAATGAACTAACGATTGTTTGCTGTGCATTTTTAATGAATCTGTTTTTTTTTCTTTTTTAAAAAGATCACTTAGTTCACTTGTTTCATTAATTTTCCCGAAAAGATTTTGTAAATTCAATCTGAAAATAATCGAATGACCTAGGAACAAACATGATTTATCGATCTTCTTATAAGTTTTGCTTGAATTCATTGGGAAGTTAATCAGATCATCATGTCTTATTTAAGTTTTAAATCATTAAAATGCATGGCTTGAACAAATGTCTTAAAGTATTTACATATTTATTCAATATTGAAGTTCATTTAATATATAACAAACACTCCCATGACTTATTTCGATTAAGATTGGTTTCTGTAATACCTTTTTATTAACTTATTTAACAGAAGGTGTTCATGATCATGTCTGTATAATTATGTATGCTTGATCATATGTGACAGACTACGCACATATCTCTCTAGCTTAAATGTTGATAGCTTAGATATTGCTTGATTAGTAACTCTCTTTATCATGTATATATGTGCTTGAATCCTAGTAATAGCTTTTACATTGCTTGCTTAATCTTTGCCGTGCCTAACTGAGCCTTGATTCGATTTGACCATAAATCCGCCTCTGTATTTGCTCGCTTCTTTGATCTGATTCGCTCGACATGCTTGTAACTATGTTATCTGTGCTATCCACTAATAAACTGTAATCGCCGCTTTTCACTGACTTCTGAATCTAAACACCGTTGAGATTTATATAATGACGGTTATCAAGGTGATTGATTAACGAAGCTAACGTACTACAAGTAAATCTATGAATTATGGATGTAATTTTGGGAATCATAAATATATCAATCTGTTTAAGCAAATAATAATATACTAATAAATATAGAAGTTACACCATTAACTTGTCCATTATGAGTAAAAGCCAAAATATTTAAAAAAAACATTGAATTAGACAAATATAATATACAAATGATAAATACAATCATGAATTTAATCTCTATGGAAATATCCGTAGAAGTTTTGGAGTTTTATTCACAACAGTTGTCCAACGATAAGTCAATATTGTAATATATTTATATCATTGTCCTATGTCATTTTTTTTCGATTCATTTAGTGACCTTATGATGCAATATGATATGTATTGACTTTTATCTGTTTATATAATTATCATTAGCTTAATGTGTATTGCTATTTAAAGAGAAAGGTTCTGAGTTCTAGTCTCCGTGTAAACATTAACACAGGGATTTATATATACTCAGCTTGTGAGTCTTAAATAAGATAAAACATGAATTACTTTGTTAACCACAAATCATTTATCTACTTGTCTTGTTAAGTTTGTTAGGTTTTTGATTGAGGCCATAAATCGGTGAATGTTAGATAACCATTGAAAATCCCGCGTGCGGGATAGTGAATGTGTATTGTCAAGTAGTCCCACACTAGGACGAAACGGTTGTCTAGTTCTTCCAGGTTTTCAATAGTGGTATAACATTCATAAGTTCATGATCTCAATCAAAAAGATTATTTCTTTGTTCATTGTCATTATTTTTAGCATTATTTAATGTATAATACATTTGGTTGCATTTTAAAAAGTACATCAATGTGAAGATTCAAACAAGCAATACTAAGTGAAAATAAAACTTCATCCCATTGCACAAGCAAGTGGCTATCAGGACTCAATAGCTGAGTGGATAATGCGATGGCGTTTGAAGCGTCTGAAGGTACTGGGTTGGAGTCGCAGAATGAATATCAACTCTGAGATGCAGATACATACAACTGACGAGTCCCGAATCGGACGAAACGCGCGTCCTGGATCCCACTACTAGCCATTATCCATCTTTGCTTACGATGCTTGTGAAATAAGGCTATGTTGAGGCAATACGCACAGTATGCACATACGCTAATATGAGACTGACCAGTTGCAGCCCCAAACATCAATCGGAAGATTCAAACAAGTAAGAGTAAGTGAAAGTACATTTCTATTCAATATTTCTTTTACCAGTAATTTTATGCTACTTAGTCAAATCTAGACTGACTTACAAAGAAATTATTTAATTAGAAAATACAATGGTAAATTAAATGCACAATGACGAACAAAAATCATGGGATATTGAATATTGAGGATTTTTAGTAGTAAATTAAAGGATTATCGATATGACAATTCACTTTGTTTATTGATAAAAAATTGATTGTTTTAAAGGTATCATGATAACAAACATTTAGTTAAACACAAGCTTTATCAGCAAATATTGGTAGCAGTATAATCCAGGACATGCATTTCGTCTTATTTGGGACTCCTCAGATGGATGTACCTGCATCCCAGAGTCAGTGTTTACTCTGGGATTTGAACCCAGTACCATTCGATTCAAACACCATCACGTTATCCACTTAGGTATTGAGTCCTGATAGCTACGCATATCTTAGCCACTATCTATCTTTGCTTATGATGCATGTGAATTAAGGCAATATCAAGGCAGCCCGTACAGTATGCACATATACCAATAAGAAACTGATCAATTGTAGTCCTAAACAACAATGGTAAGATACAAGCAAACAATACCAAGTGAATTTAGGTGAACATTCGAGAAATTATGACATATTAAAAACAGAACAGTAACTGAACTATATTTAACATGTACAAAGTGTTAATTCACCTATTATCATAATTTACAGTTGAAAGTGAGGTGATAACAACATATGCTTAGGAATACTAGATAAGGAAGTGTTAAAATTTAAATTCAAGATGGTTATTATTAATGAACTAACTGAATAAATTTTCAGAACAGTAAAATAAAATATATACAGTAATTATGGCTTATGTAACCGAATAACAATGTCTTCAATGACATAAGCCTAAGATATTTCTGAACTATCTATGTAACGTTTTAAACCAAATGTAACCAGATGTAAAAGTGGTTAGGTTAATGACAAGAATATTGAAGATAATATCAATTAGCGAATAATTACATGAAAGTTCATAGTAGGTCAAAAATGAAGAAAAGAGTTATTGAAAGTTCTAGTCACTGGAGTCAGATAACACAAAAATATAGTGCTAAGAAAGGAGTTTAAAA